ATATGGTCCAGCTCAGCAATGGTATTGAGGAGAATGATTGCTACTGATAGTAAAGGAATTGGGGACTTTGGGAAGAATTAGGCAACCTAAAGGAAATTTCAGATCTGCATTGTTTTGCTGCTATATTTCAGGTAACTAGTTTCATACATTAATCTGCAAGCCTTTATTTGAGTTTCATGGATTTGTGTTGATTTGCTTTGTGTTATCACTGATGTTTAATTGCTAGGAAACTGTTTCTAAGGCTGGCCTTACCTGTATTTAGCACTGATATAATGCCATCCCAGTAAGTGTAAATGGCACTATAGAGATAAGTCAAAACAGCAGGTTTTTGCTCTAAAAAGCTTAGAAATAATAAACTAGCTCCACTTTACTGTGCTGATTTGATGGGGACAGATTTTGGCCTTAGATTAAACAAAACATAGTTCAGAACAAATAAATGTACAAGAAGGGCTGAAGCAGTTCCCAATCACGTTTCAAATTCATACCTATTTAGTAGAAGACTTCTTGTTCTATGTCAGTAGGCAGCATAACATAAAGCTTGGGTTTTGCCTGTTATTTATTTTTAGTGGATGATAGGAAAAGTGAGACCAGCAGACGTCATGCAACCTGACAACACAAATACACCCCTGAGAAAACCAAAGCTGGCAAACAAACACCCCATTTACAGCATAAACACAAACTCTCCAGGAAAATGCAGGGTTTTTAAGGACGGGGTTTTTAACACCCTGAACTCACAGACATATTTTATTGTAGGTTAGAAAATTTTGTAGAAAATCTCTGGCATAGCTCATTAATGGCTTTGGAAGAAGCAGACTTCTACTAGAGACATCATAAAGCCAGACAGCAGAAGCTCAGATGATTTATAATTTCATAGCAACGACCAAAATCAGATTTCATGAATACAAATCACTGGGGGGGGGGGTATTTCCTGTTATTTCTAATAACATTTATTAGAAATAATGTTCCCTATTAAAGGATAATGAAATTCAGAGACTGCCACATGGATGAAGATACAAATCTTTTCAAAACGACTCATGCAAAACCTGCATAAGTCCAGTGGTGGTTCAGGAGGATCCCCAAAGTAGCATGCCAGAATTCTCCTGCACAAGACAGAAGAAAGTGGGTCTGCAGAGCTGAAAACTGTAGGAAAAGAGAATCTGAATTGCCCTCTGTTTGTGAAGGCTGTGGCTACAGACATTCCATGTTTCCTTTGTCATTTCAGGTCCCAATTCCCATGTCAAGCCACGTTGTGCTCAAGGCAGAATCTGAGAGTTAAAGTCACTAGGTCACCCTTTTGTTTAGCTTTCTATATTCAGGCTGCTATGAAAGAGTGTAATTTAGAACCATCGGATGTGGTTCAGACTACCTTTTTCTAAAACTTTCAATAATGGTGGAGCAACCCCACTACACATAGCATCACAAGTTTTTATAAATGCCAAAGGATGAGAATTTCAGCCATAAAGACAATACGTGCTTGAACAGAGATTCTCTCTCAAGCTGTTGCATACAACTAAAACCAAGGGATGGCCTTTACAAGGGGAGAAGAAATTTAGGACATTAAAATGACATTTTAGTTGTCAGGCATTTCTGTTTAGCCCCCTTTGCAATACACCATTTGCACTTCCCATATTATAATAAAAAGTATGTGTATTGAGGTATTTAATAGGCAGTCATACAGAAGAATTTACTCCAGTAGCAGACTGGCAGCTTTCTTAGCAAGTTTCACAGACATAGAACAGGAAAGGAATGAAAGAGAGCATTTTGCTTTCATTTAAAAGGTCATCAAATGCTCTGTTCAGTATCTCTCTGAGAGTTTATTCAGCATTACCCTTTTTCCCTGAAACTATCATATCCCAAACCAGGCACTGCTGAAGACACAGCTGAGAAAATGTAGCTCTCACGTGGCATGGACAGGCAGAGACTGGAGTGAGGCACGCACATCATCAGATAGAATCTGGACAGAATCAGACTTAGAAAGTTTAGAGATAAAAATATGCTAAGCTTTCATTGTCCTATTCCAACAGAGCAAACAGTTTTGAAGTTGGCCACCAAACCTTGCCTTCTCACTTTGTCCACGTTGACCTGTTTTCCATGTTTTGCCCACTATCCAACTCCCTGCTCACACAAACAAGTCCTGCAAGACAGACTTTGCTTTCCCTGGCCCTAATCAGCAGAAATGCTCTGGCTGTAACTATGCCTTATATTTCACATACAGGAAATATCCTTAGAGCTGCCTGTGAATCTCTGCAGGACTTCTCCATTACAGGCAAGCATTTCTTGTGAGAAGAACTCAGTTGAGGAACAAATAACACCACATGCATGATGTTAGTTTTGGCATTTAGTAAGGAGAATTGTTAGCACAGTCTATGTGTATTGCATGCTTCTCAAGTCACATGAGATACTTCTGTGCACCTGATCCTTCATACGAGTACATCCAAGTATACTTCAACCATCCTGGTACTATAGAGTTAGCACAAGATGATTCACTGTATTTCTGGGAGGGACTTCAGATTTACTTACAGGGCACTAGGCTGAACTTCATCCCAGGCCTACCCAAAACCAGGAACAACAGGAGGGCTAAAGGACTCCGGTTCTTGAACAGACCTGCTAGTGTCAGCCTGTGGCTTGAGGAGGACAGAATCTGGAGGTAGGATCTGAGAATGGTCACAAGCTGCCATCTGCATCATTGTGAAGCCACAGGGCTGCATGGCACAATAATTTCCAGGACCCACAGCAGCTCTCAAGTCAGATGAAACCTTCCCTGGGACTGGGCTTACTGCCCTGCCTCAAGTAAACTAAAGCCAGAGTACAGCACATCACCTTAAGAGATTCATTGGTGAACTAAGCAGAATTCAATTTCTGTTGGATTTTATTGAGTTAAATCAATCCCAAATGACCTGAGATTTTTTAGACCTTGTTTTTTCATCCTTAATTTTTGACAGATAATGAAATTAGAAAGATGATATTTCAAGGGAAGTGAACCAGCAGACAGAACATACTAAGAACTTCTTTCTCCCACTGCACTAGTAGAATTTGGCTCACTTCTATGAATAGTTAAAAATCAGTTAGATTTGCAAGTATGTATACTCAAAATTTGCATTTGCATGGCAGCCATGCTTCTCTTCATAGCCATGGCAAACACGTATTCTGGTGACTAGTTAGATTTTGAGTTGGCTCATTGTGCACAAAATCTCAGACACTACCACAGAAAATGAAGCATGCATTTTTGTGTACATAGACATGGGCAGGCGATTCCAAAAGTCCATGTCTGTATAACCTAAAGTGCCTGTATGTTTGACTAGCTTGTAAGGATTGGTTTGTCTCTGACATCTGCATCCATGTTTACTTTATTTTTAAGCCTACAATTTGAATTGCAGGAATAGTTAGGATTTTGTGAAGGCGCAGGGAGAGCATCATTGGTACAAACGTGTATCTCATCTCCAGCATGCAAAGTCTTCTATCTGCAATGGTAAACATAGTAGCCGACAGGCTGAGGCTACTGAGGTGTGTTTTGCAATTCCCATTAATTACTTTGCAGCCTTTTCTTTGAGTATTCACTGTGAAGTCTAGGGACATTTGCATTTCTTATATCCATCAGTCCAGGTTTTTTTTAAATTCCCACAGTTTGGTTACATTTCACTTTAGTCTAGAAATGCAGGGAGTGCATGTTTAAATTTTATCAAGAAAAGAGATAGTAAATGTCAAACAAAGATAGTACCTGAAAGGAAATAAAACAATTCAAAATACTTGTTTAAAAAGTTACAAAATATGACAGCATTAATGGCACTTAAAGCTATGAGCACTTAAAAGATTACCACCGTATTTTTCTCAACTTCATTTCCTAAATTTCTTTTTTCTTTTTCCCTTTTTTATTTTCTGAGATTGTGACTCAGCTTATGTCTAAATCCAAACCCAGCAAAAGGGGCAGAGAGCCCTGAGATTCTATAGTTGCCCTGGCCCTCATGTGGATAACGTATATGCTTGATGTCTATTTTTAAAAATTCAGAATCAGCTACAGAGAACAGCAGTTTGCTGACATGCAAAAGCTAGAGCTTTCCTTCTGCCTTCATAGTCTTACAGCATTAAAATTGAATATTTTTTTTTTCAGTGGTAGAAAGTATGAATGAGAAATTCTTTTAAAAAAAGAACCACTGTTTTTTACACCTAGCCAAATATCATTAATGTTTCTCTTCTTTTAAGCAACGTAGCACAAGATGTTGCACTTTCTTCATATGAAATTTCCTGCTGTGACATTACATTGAGTATTTCTTACATGAGAAAAAAAAAATCCATTTGTTTCCTTTCCTTTCCTGTTTTGTTTTTTTTTTTTTGTCACTGGTTATGAGAAATACCCGCAGAGTTGTTTGGGGTTTTTTGTTTGTTTGTTGTTAATGAAAAGAGCAATCCGACCCTTAAATGTGTCTGTGTTGTTTTTTCAAACCAGCACCAAGCTGGTGCTGTGTCCATGGACATTCTTTTGGAGGTTAGAAAGATAATGCATCTGTTTCAAAAATGGAAAAAAAAAAGTAAATCTAGAAATCTAGCTTGGATCACGTGCCAAAATGTAAACTAAGCCTTACTGAGAGTTTCTAGTTCACTCCGATCATTTCTCCTCTTTTCAATCACCAGGGGAAGGTTTTATGGATGCATACTCCATTAGAAAGATACACTTTTTCATCCCTTTGAAAGGCTCTTCTTACGTAGCTGCCCTTTGTCTAATAGTAGACCATGGCAGGAGCACTCTGGTGATATTACCATGGTTCTATCCCTTCATTTGTGTCTTACCCTGGTAATTTTATACAGGCTGAAATTTCCATGTGCGTAGCTTTCTGTTGCCATTCTGCAGTGCTGTGTTCCTGATTTGTTTTGGCAGAGCAAGCTTGAGTCTTTATGGCACAGTGAAATATTCTTTGATGCTATATAATTCAGACTGAACAAGGAGTTTGTATAAGGCACGTGTCTCAATATATATATGTATATAAAACCACTAACATTGTTAATTCAAGTCAAGCATCTTTTACATTTAATTTCTGTCTTCAAGTAACACTTTGTTTTCGTGTTCCCTTTCTTTGGTTTCATTGGGGATCACTCCATTCTCCAGGTCTGAGTGCTGCTGGATGCAGTTGGTCAGGACTGCAGTGCTAGAAGAGTTCTCAGAATTACACATCTTCTCTGTCTCCTCTTCCTTTTTTTCTTCATCCAAGGAGTAGTTTCGGAAGGTCTCATAAATTTTATGCACATCCTCAGGGATGGTCTTTTTGAGGTCTTTGTTTTTCCTTTTGCTCATTTTAGCAGATGATCCAAACTTGTTAATGATGTTGTCCTCAGATGCTCCCTGCCCGTGCTTGTTGAGCTGATCTGACCCTTTAAGGCGCAGGTTGTTAGGTCTGTTATTGATGCTTTCCTGAGATGAGGCTTTGAAGCGCCCTGCTTCCAAGGCAGTAAAGACAGAGCGCTTCTCTGGAGAGAGCATGTCTAAAGAGTGGGCTCGCTGGTCCAGGCCCAGGCGCCTGCGCTCCATGCTCCGAATGGTGGCTGCCCGCTGAAGTTTGTCATGGATCTCCACACTCAGCCGCCTCCGTGTCTCTCTGAACTCAGCCGTCATGTTTGCTTTCCACTCCGCTGCGTGGGCTTTTATTTCTCCAACCTTTATAACAACAAGAGACAGAAATGAATAAAAAAAAGAAAAAAAAACCCAAACCAAACCAAAAAAAAAAAAAAAAGAAAGAAACACAACCAAAACCAGGGCTACAGCCTTTCCTATACAATAGCAGTGCAAGCACTTTCTTCTCTGGCATGAAATCAGAGACCAGTCCCACCTCCAGTGCATCCATCTGGACCCAAACTTCAGGATCAAAGTGGTTATACTGGGCAAGCTGTAAATGTACCAACTCATTACTGGGTAATGTCTTATGTGGCATAAACCTGTCTGCCTGTTTCACGTTTTGCCACCTCACACATTTTATAGCAGTTATGTGATGGGGGGTGTTCACACTAATAATCCCCTCTTGGTTAAGAAGAAAATTCCTGACTTATAATGTCAGTGGAGATGGCTGGGACTAGGGAAAATTAATCACATACAGAGATATACCAAATGTGCTTCAGAACAGCGCAACAACCAGGATAGCAATGCAGTAATGTATTTTCCCATATTGCTCATGGATGGAGCTGTTCAATCCCACTAAAGGTTCTGTTCAGTGCCAATTAATGTTGGAAATACCTGTTAGATAATTGTAAGTGGACTGCTGACTGATCCAGTCTACAGTCTTAAAAGGAGGTTTCAATCGCATAACTATCCAAATACCACCCTCTCAAGCCAGCTGGAGGAGTTTTCAAAACATATTCTGTGTGGGCACCATAAGCACATCCTCAAATATCTCACTGCTTTGATCTGTTTTACTCCTTTGCATGTAATAGCGTAAGAATAAAGCTAAGAACAAAGAACCTCCATGGCTACTGAATTGAGTAACTCGGGTTCTGCACTCAGTGATCCCCAAAGAGGTCATCTTTGATTCCTCAGGCCAGATGACCAAGTATCCATTTAGCACTTCATTACTGATGGCAGCAAGCATGTCACATCCACCATGAGATACCAGATTCACACCTCTAGGTGCCTGCTGATGCTCAACCTGACAGCCAAAATTTCTGTTAAGCCCCCTTTTATCAATGGAGATGCAAAGAGGAGGCACTGGGCCTCAGGTCGCACAGATGACTTCATAAGAAAATAACCAGCACTACCCCTCTGCCAAACTTTGTCTATGCCTGTTCTTTGGTTAACCCTGCCAGGTTAGTTTTGCTGGTAGTGCAGGAGGTGATTGCCTTAAAAACTGAAATTCTATTAACATCCTCCCCAACAGTCTTCAGCTCAGGAGTCATGCAATTGCTTACTATTTTCCAACCTTGTCTTTGTATCATGGAAGACATGCTCTGAGTTAATTTAATCATGTTCTCCCCAATGCTGACTACTCAGTTTCTTCAATTTTAAATAGTACAGTACTCAGTAAGGGGCCTGAATCTAAACCTTTATTCAGAACCGTATTCCCTGGCATAAGGAAAAGTAGAAAAATTCAATATAAATCACTGTTTTGAAGGCAGATTCTTGTTTCTTAATGAAGAGAGACAATTAATGTCTTCAAAACCCACGCATCTCCAATTTTTAAGGGGAGAGCATTAACATTCTTAGCACAATTTTGTAGCTAGTTTCAGAGTGAAGACTGGCCTTTCTTATTTGATAATTGCAATCCTACTGATGTGTTCTGTGTATTTGGTAGTACTGATAGAGGTGGAAGAACCTAGGTTGCTTCTGTTGCTTCTTTTCCTCCCTAAAGATCAGAGCGAACTGGATACCAAAGGCAGCCAGTGAAGTAAACCATGGGGAACATTGAGCACTGGTCATGCAGAGAGGCATCCTTCTTTAGGACAAGCAGGAATCAAGCACTTAAAGCTCTCATAAAATGAAAAATCACTGAAAAATGACTGGTCATACCTCTTCTTTTGTCTTCTTGGACAGGACTCTTAGCCAGTCTCCAATCATACTCAGGACAGCAGCAAAATAGGCAAGGCCAACAAGGATCCAAAACCACACTAAGGGTTTATACCACTCCCGGTAATGGATGTTAGAATTTCCTCCTGAAATAAGCATATACTTATGCTTAGGAATCATGAGATGCCAAAATTATGACAAAATAACTGCAATTCTGAGAAATGCCTGGAAGTATTTCTTGACTCTTGCCAACACCACTGTAGTTCTAATAATAGCCAAGAGGCCTGTCAGATGGGAGGAACACAGTCTGTTCTCAATTTAAGACTTGTCAAAATTATCTATTGTTCTGCTGCTATGAGACTTGCCAGAGCACCTAGTAACCACTTTTCTTCGATTATGCATATTCTAAAGCAAGTCTGAAATTCCTACTTTGATAGTACCTGCAACAGCATGAACACATTCTCAAGAAAAAAGTTTAATACAGCTAGCCTTCCTTATTCTAAACTGCCTGCAGCCTGGTAGCTGAGAAACTTTACAGTTCAGCTCCCTCAGGTTATAGTTCCATATTTTATAGGTTTAGCCTCAGGACTGAGAGACCTATATGCAGGAGAAAGAAAAGTATCTTCCTCTCCAAATCAGGATGCCTGACAGAAAGCCAACTGTCCATCAGCCCTGAGAATAAGGATATACTGTCTGCTTGGGTATCAGTTATAGGGTTGTATTCTCTGAGCAGTGACTTGAGAGGAGATACAGATCAAATGAAGCAACAAATACCCTATACGGTCTTCATGCAAGTCTTGAGATGAGGTGACATATCGAAAGAACTACGAAGGGCCTCAAATAAATGCAGTAGCAGCCACACTGCTGCCTACCACAGAGCAGAGTAAGCTTTTTCAAAAGAAAGCAAATACAACCTCACATTTGAGACTCCCAGCTCTATCACAGTGCTATGCACAGTGCAAGAATGAGAGCCAGTGAGAAGCAGGCACAGCCCTGAGCTGAAGTGAACAAGCGACAGAGTCTGCTCAGGCCCATGAGCACAGCCTCATCCTTCAGTGCAGGAGAACAAACACCACCTTGGTGGTACCTGTGTAAAATCTCTGCCTGAAGAGCAAGTCTACCAGGGGACTCAGGAAGAAGATTGTGTATTTCCTGGACTCCAGCCTTGATTAGACAAGAGCTAGACATCAGAGTGATTCTAGGATTTCCCCTCCATCAGCAGACAACACAGTTCAGCATTTACCCCAGAGCTTTTTGCAGTCTGAGACATTCCCAACTCTGTAATTTTATCCAGACTCAGTATGAGTGTACATACGGTGTTTGAACATCCCCATGGAAAGTCAGACATCTAAGAATTAGCAGGGTCCCAAATACTGGGTTTGATGATAATCTCTTCCCATAGACTTCATGAATCATTTTCTTTTTCCCAGTCTTTAAGAGTGTGAAACAATGGGAGGTGGGAGCTGCTGTTGCTACAGTACAAGGAGGCTCTTCTGATCATATGTGTCCCTGAGGAAGCCTGCTATGAAACAGATTGTCTAGGTCTATCTTACAGAGTAATCAGGCAGCTGAGAAAGTATGACACCACTTTTTTTCAGCCTATCAGATATTCTGTCTTTTTTTCAGGCTCCATCCACAATTTTATCTCCATCAGTAGTACAAAAACCTTCCAGTCTGCCAAGAGCTGGAACATATTCTAGGTGGAATAAATCAGTATAGCTCCATTGATGCTGTTTTGCCCAATACAATGTAATATTTTTTTATTTGATGTTGAAGAGACAGAGATACTGAGAGACTAAAGTGACAGAAAATAAAAGTGACAGAAAATCTGTCCCAAAACCAGCAATAAAACCCAAATCTCCTGGTGATCACCTGCCTTAAACTCTTATCATGAGATTGCCTCTGAAGTTTTTTTATTCAGGATCATCTATTTGATTTTTGAAAAATCCTGGTTGTTAGTAGCCACCCAGCTGCGAATCATATTCTCCTAATCTTGCTGGATATAAGCATTTAATGTTCAGAGTTCGGTTGTTGTTTTATTTTTACTATTCTATTATTAAAAAAAAAACACACCAATACTGAAGTGTGATATGCTTCAGAAAAAAATTGTGAATTTTTTTTATTTCACACTGTGGTACCACAAAGACAGAGCTTCACCACAAAGTGAGCTTCTCTTCACATTTAAGAGGTTAAAATGGACCGAGCTCAATCATTTCTGCATCTGAATGCTTGTAAAACACCTCTTTTTCATATCTGGGGCCTTCTTTGTTCAGTGCCTTTTTTTTCCTCACTAATTCATGTCTTCTATACCACTATGTCATAAGAAAGGATTAGAGTCTTCTCTACAAAACGACTTGTCTGCAGCTGTTCAGCAAAGAAAACTACATATCCCTGTAGTTTCATTTGATGTTTTTAACCCATTTGTATTTCACTGATAGGATGTAACAAAACAGTAGTGTAATATGGCTATAACACGGGGATCTTAATGCCTTTAATTAGGACCACTAACAACAGGAATGAAGAGTAGAGGTCATGCAGTAATGGGGAAAAAAAAAAAATCCACTTATTTAACCAACTTGTTGTTAGCAAAGCAGTTGTATGGGGGGAAAAAAAATCTCAGCTTTCCAGCCAACAATCTTGACTCCCTCTTTGGAAACTGATAAGCATGGGTATTTATAGTTCCTGCCATCACTGTATTAATCTTTGAGAGTATCCTCCTAGCACTGAGATGCATATCCCATCAGTCCTTCTCTTCCTACATGAGTCTTCCTTAACAAGGCAACTGCAATGTCAGACTTTCTGCCAAGGTTAGAGATTGTAGTTTCTGAAAAGCTGCAGCTCCTGTAGTAGCAGCCACTACTGTGTTCAATAAGATTTCGCCAGCCCTATGGCTCAGCCCTACTTTGTAACAGCTTCATCCATTCATCATTTTGGCTACTTGCTTCTGCAGTCAGGCTCAGATTGAGCCCTAATGGACTAATACAAATCTTGAATCCAACGGGAGAGTAATTTGACTTGTGCATAATTCATTGCCCCATAAAGGATAATCAGGGCTTCCCATGCTCCCATTATCTACACTGATGAAAGCTTGTAATCTGCAGATGCCAAAACACCTGGATCTTAAATCAACCTGGTGTCCTATTGCACAGTAACCCCAACAGAAACACCTGGAATATAATACATTACGAAAAGCCTCCTCTCTACACCAGAAAACCAATTCTAAGAACCAATGCTCCCATGCACAGTGGCTAGGATGGAAGCTGCTCACCTGCTACAAAGTCACCGAAGCCAACAGTAGTCAGAGTGACAACCACAAAGTAGGTGGACTCCAAGGCTGTCCATCCCTCGATGTGTTTGAAGATAACTGCAGGAATGGTCACAAAGACAACGCAGCCTGCCAGGATGAAGACAATGGTAGAGATCACCCGGATCTTTGTTTGACTCACTTGCTTTTTCTAGAAACAGGAAATAAAAAAAGAAATAAAAAAAAAAAAGGAAAAAACTATATTTTTGAGTGGATTTCTGGATCAGTCACATACCTTGTAAACAGCAGAGTGATTGTGCTGGTGTCATCTGGTATACCTCTTTCTGCCTTCTTTGAGCTTATTAGATGGAATACAACCTTCCCTTCCCTTTAGTGAGAGCCCTGCCTGGGTAATTGTGAACCTCTACCTCTGGTGCCAGAAAATTATGCTTCCCATTATCCATGCACTAGGCAGTTACTAACTGCTAAGAAACAAAGGCTGGAAGAACAGCCCTGAGCTCCAGAAAGGCTCCAGTACACTCCAGCTTCAATGTGTAAGAAAAAAATGCACATTCATATATCCATATCACATATCCATACATATCCATACACCTACGCTGCTCACCAACATCAAGCATTCAACAAGCATGACCAAGACTAAAATGAAAATAAACCCTTTCTTTCCTGTAAAAAAAGACAGAATTGAATGTTAAAAGTATCAATAATTCATGGGTTGGTTTTCCACGCTCAGAATTTCATTCACAAACAATTAAAGTTAAAAATAGATAGCTGTATTATCAGTTTACTTCCGAAATCAAGGATTTATGTCAAATACCAAACAACCTGAGACAAAATTACCTACATAAATCCACACTGGAAAGCTCTTGATCAAAGAATATGTGGGTTACTGGCTGCTGTAAACAGAATACAAATATAGGCAGTGTAATTGCAACATGTTACGCTCCTAGATCATATAGACTCTCAATTTATTTAATATAAACTTAGATTTGTTTCCAGTAATATTGGTGCAAGCCTGGATTAATACAATTGACTCTGGCATATTTATTGCAGATATTCTCTGCTGTAAATAAACTCAAAATTCGATATGTTCACAAGAAACCTGGAACTTACTAGATATCTTACTGTGGATTAATTACAGTTGCAGTGTTAATTCTGTATTTATCCTGGAAAAGGAATGCGGGTGTCACAGGAAGTCGCATACTTTCAAATTAGTTTTCCAAATCAAGCATCTTCTTTAACCCAGAAATGTGATCTATTTTCAGATTAGAACATCGCCAAGACAGGAAATAAGGTCTCAGAAGATATCTTTGTAATATACAGAAGGGATATTGCCTGAGCTGGTTAATATCTAACCAGCACGTGAACAGTACTAATGCTTCCACTAAAGCACAAGCATTTCTTTTAGAGTGTAACATCAGACTCTCATGAGGTGCTCATCTGATCTGGGAAGCTCTGCATTTAGAACCCAGGTAGCCATGTTTCATAGATATTTTTAGTTCCAAAACTGAGATGATCCCTACACTTTTTTTTTTCTTTTTGTTTGTGCGCATTGCACATTGTTTTCTGCATCTGGCTGAGCAGAAATATTTAAATAGGATTAGCAATATGATGCCAAAAATAAGGTTAATCCAATAAAAAATATGGAAAAAACTGCCACTGGAGTTCCAAGACGAAAAACAACATGAGAATACAAAACCTGCCTTGACTTGTTATTGCCTTTTTTTCTGGAGTCATTTTGAACAATTTCCTAAATTCCTAAAGGATGATTTAGCTTCCTTAAGAGATAAGGATGCATGTTCATAATAGCAGGATTTCAGACACACTGTATGTGGTGAACGGAAAACAACTGATCCCATGCATGTTACATGGTGTCTTATACCAACATAATCACTTTTAGTCATGGAGGACCAGGATTTAACCAAGCTGTTGTTTACTTATTAGTGTGGCCACCATGACTTGTTGAATTCTACTAAACGCTCCAGTTTCCTGATACATAAAAATGAAATGGCAGACACCTTGCTCCACTTGAGGTTAGGAGGCATATGCAGTGCTGTATAGTACCAGAAGTCCTCAGACAAAAAGTATTTTGGAGCTGCCAAGCACTACAAGGAAAGCAAAGTTATGCAGAGTAATCCTTCCTCCAGTCCCAAACCGTAACATTAAAATTCTATGTGTCAGGATTGTCTTTCTCATGGTAGAAACAGGAGTGGACAAAATGGCCTGTAAATCAGTACCAAATGTACTGCAACACCGGTAAGCAGCTGAGCAACTCCAGCCAGGCTAACACATCCTCTGAGCCCATTTTGTGGCAGAATACAGAGTTTTCTAGACGTGTCAAAATGAGACAGTAAAAGAGGCCCTTCTCCAAGAAAAGTAGTTCATCTCATAGCAGTTTCAGTAAAATGAAAACACTTTAAAAATAGATGTTTTCTATTGCCTGTTTTTTCCCTTCTAGTTCTGTTTTACTAACAAGTTTTCTTGGCACTGAAGAAGCAGATAATTTGTAAGATATTAATCAAATATAAATAGATGAGTGCCTGCTAACAACAGAGACTTCAATTTAAACCACCTAGAGCTAATCTGGAAAAGACTAAAGGAGGAATCAAAGAAGAAATAACAGTTTTCTCTTATATATTCACTTATGGGGAGGGGTCATTTCCATTTACTAATGAAGGTGCTGATTTTTAGCATTTAGCTACCTTGAAAGTAGGTAAACAGGCAGTACCGCTGACATAGAATCATAGAATGGCTAGAGTTGGAAAAGACCTTAAGATCATCTAGTTCCAACCCCCTGCCATGGGCAGGGACACCTCACACTAAACCATGTCACCTAAGGCTCTGTCCAGCCTGACCTTGAACCTTGAACACTGCCCGGCATGAAGCATTTACCACTTCTTGGGCAACCTGTTCCAGTGCCTCACAACCCTCAGAGTAAGGAGCTTCTTCCTTATATCTAACCTGAACTTCCCCTGTTTAAGTTTAAACCCACTACCCCTTGTCTTATTGCTACAGTCCCTGATGGAGAGTCCCTCTCTGGCATCCTTGTAGGCCCTGTCCAGATTTTGGAAGGCTGCTATGAGGTCTCCATGCAGCCTTCTCTTCTCCAGGCTGAACAGCCCCGATTTTGCAGCCTGCCTTCATATGGGAGGTGCTCCAGCCCTCTGATCATGCTGATCTCTGAGCAACACCACTCATTACCAGTCTCCAGTTGGACATTGAGTGATTTGACCACAACTCTCTGTGTAGCTATCCAGACAATTCCTTATCCACCAAGTGGTCCATTCATCAGATTTGTGTCTCTCCAGTTTAAAGACAAGGATGTTGTGCGGGACAGTGCTGAACGCTTTGCACAAGTCCAGGGAGATGACGTCAACTGCTTTGCCCCTATCCATCAGTTCTGTAGCCCCATCATAGAAGGCCTCCAAATTGGTCAGGCAGGATTTCCCCTTAGTGAAGCCACGCTGGCTGTCACCAAGCACCTTGTTGTTTGTCATGTGCCTTAGCATGCCTTCCAGGAGAATCTGCTCCAAGATTTTGCCAGGCACAGAGGTGAGACTGACTGGTCTGTAGTCCCCCAGGTCATCCATTTTCCCCTTCTTGAATATGGGATCTATATTTCCCTTTTTCCAGTTGTCAGGAACTTCACCTGACTGCCATGATTTTTCAACTGTGATAGACAGTGCCTTAGCAACTTCATTTCCCAGCTCCCTCAGGACACACAAATGGATTTCATCAGGTCCCATGGACTTGTGCACATTCAGGTTCCTAAGATGATCTCAAACCTGATCCTCACCTACAGAGGGCCTAAGGTCTTCATTCTTCCAGTGTCTGCATTTGTCTTCCAAGACTTGAGCAGCATCATCTTGCTCATATTCATTTAAACAACCTACTGTCAACCAGCTCTAGTGCCAAGAGGGGTGAGCATAGATATTATCATGAAAGTACCCTTATCAGTAGAATTCTGTTCTTATGCATCTTTTCCAGCAAGAATTGTGACTTCTTTTTTTCCTTATTTTCTATTACATACATGGGGGTCTTATCAGGTTTGATCTTATCCAATAATTTCAAGAATAAAAGAATTTTTTTTTTCCCATCTTCTCTCTGGTCCTAAAGATCAAAGCAGATAACTGGATTCATTTACGTCTCCTGTCCTTTTCATGTGAATTAACCTGGGCACAACTTTTCTAACCTGGCTGTTGACAAAAAAAAAGGACCAAACAAGGTTATAAATTTCCCAAGCTGAGACCACAGGGATATAGCATATTCCTTCAAAAAAGGAGTAGGAGACACTAAGTATAGGAACAAAGGATGCTAGTAATTTATCAGACTAGACTATATTCTAAATATATGGAACATACATATTTCCATGAACAGCTTATTTCAAACATGCTTATTCCAAGATTTTGTAGTGTCACCTCCCATTTCACAATACTACTCAACCAAAAATAGCACTGGAACATTTGCTGTTTCACAGTGAGCTCAGATGGTTCCTCCATCTTCCAAGCATTTTCTTCTCTGAATTGCTGACAAATATCCCCAAGACTCCAAGCAAGTTGTTTATCTTTTTGGCTAGATAACCAAAGTCATATTTTTAGTGCTAGTATAATGTGCCTGCATGGAACATGCTGTCATCATCTGTCGCACAAGGCTTTGCATTTTGGAGCATTCTGCCAAAGAAAACACATTTCTTTAACATTTCTTTTGTCCCCTTCACCTGCTCTTAACTTTTATGCCCTTTTCTATGCTGCCAACAATTTTTGGAACAGATTGTCTCTGCCCATGCACTAATTAAACAGCTTGTTAAATCACTTTCTCTAGATCAAAATACTAAAACAAGAGGAAAGCCAGTCTTTGCACTCGAAACGTAAAGCAGAATACCACATATATCAGTTCTATTATTCTATCTTTTTTCTCAGCCACAAAAGTGAGGTATGTCCTTAGTCAAAACATTTATGCCAGGCTAGCATAGGCAGTGCAGGTAGTCATACGCTCACACTGCTTGCCTTTCAGCTCAGTCAAATGCAAGCCAGCCCTGGACCAGAGCCTGGCACATACCTCAGCAGGGTGTGAAGCCAATCTCAACAGGCTGTACAGAACGACCGGCACAGCACTGGCTCCTTGATGATCAGCGCTATGGTTGAACCAACCTCAGTGCTGCCTATAACTGTCACTGTGGATTTCCTTCCTGCT